GCCGTTGCTAACTAGCGTCTTCATCAGCCGCTGTTGTGCTGCTACGTCACCGACTGGCATAAGGCAATGAGCAGGTTGTGATCGCGGACTTTTCGTAACCTGCCTCTTCCCCTGCAGCGTGTGCGGCCCTTGGTAACCCGAGCTACGACCGAGCCGGTGTTCGATGACGGAAATACTATGAGGGGCAGGTATCCAAGTTTTACGGAGACTTTTCCACGGTCTCTAACTCTCCTCTTTTCTCATCCGTGCTTATGACGTGCAACGGCGGAGTTTCATAGTGATGGGACGTAGCTGATAGGGCAGCGTGTACGCTGTGACGCACCTGCGTTTGTATTCCAACTGCTGTAAGTCATGAGTCATTGCAGCGCGATTTACAGTTTAATAGTTTTGTTCAATAGTTCAAGGAATTTTGGCGGAATGGAAGTAACTTCGATAAGTCGAATTTCATTCGTGCGCTGTGCTTCTACTTTCCTAAAACGGGATTAGAGGATTAAGACCACTCTTCAGGAACGAGCTCGGCGCTGCTTATATAATTTCTTGGGCGATGAAAAGACGCGCAAACGAATGCCTTCTCATGCTGTAGGTATCAGTCTTTCGAAAGACACTTCAGTGTGCGAAAAACATGACTGAGTGTGAAAACTATTTGCTTAACTAGATGAAAAACACGATCTCTGTTCGTAATGCTCATCATATTTACAAGTGTCATTGCAGGCTGCGATTTCTCTATCGCAGTTGCGTGTAAACAGAGCGAAAGTTCTCGGTTTGTTACCCTGCCACAGCGCTTCCAACATGACATTACATCTCGGCATCATTCTTTACTGTTTTAAAGTCGCCCTATCTGAGTGAAATCACCCTGGTGGTGTTAGCATTTTGAATATCAGCATTTGGGGTCTAAGCTACGATTAAAGAACACAATTCTAGTTCGCAGAACGAACTTTTCGTACAGAATTCATCTTTGAATATGACAAGTAGATGAAGACGCAGTTTCAGGAGGAAAATTTAGCGTCGTAGAGTGATTTAAAGTTAATTATAAGTGCAGAGACCAAACGTCTAACTAATTTCCCTGCAGTGTTCCATTTCATCTTTAAAACTTTGATTTTAAACATTGTGTTGTAAACTCACTTTAAAGCTGCAGATACCAATCAAACCAGAGATCGATTGATTTTTACATTTGTCTGCAAATGACAGTACGGCATGTTTAGGAAATCTGAAATCTTGTCCTCTATTTCTTTGATTGCTTATGTGTTTTAAGTAAATTTGTATATGATTTATTAAGAAACAGCGTTAAATATGGTTAATAATAAACTACGCCAAAGGTAATACGGTCAATCCGGTGACTGAACAATGCCGTCGTTTTGGCCCGTGTCTGGGTCCTTCTTCAAGGCCGCTGGGTGGTAGAGTTTCGTGAATTTCGTCTGTCGCTCGCTTCAGTTGATGTGTTCGGAGCCAGAAGGCCTAGGATCTTTTGCGTAGTGTATTTCTAAACCTTGTTTTATGCTGTTTTTTTCAGTATGACCACCAACACATAAACTAAATATTCTAGAGTTTATTAAGTTAGAAGGTGTACATAACGTCTGTTTGTACCTCACTGAAATTGTAGCGTGCTTAAAGTTAATCTGGTTTCAAGCTGTTTTCTATCCAGTGCATGATGGAAAAAATGAACTGCTAGATAATCTTCGCTGAAAGTTCTGTCTACTAAAAGTAATATGGACGATGATGCTAATAAAATATGTAAGTTAAATTTCAACATTTTTTCGAGTAATTTGAAATTTTGTTACTTAATAATACCCCTAATGTTGCGTCATGCAAACACTGCACACTTTTTGTAGCTACGCAAAGGATGTGAAGATCATTCATTTCCTGGGCAAGTGGAAGCCATGGCAACACACGACTGATGGTTCGACGGGCGTCCTTCAAAAAGCTGACCCGGAGACTCAAGCTGAGCACCTACAGCTTTGGTGGGATATTTTCAATCAACAGGTTGTGCCTCAGCTGCAGCCTGAGTTGGTAAGTGCTAACCATTGCACGGTGTAAATTACCACTTGTTGGGATGGCAAACGTTTTTACGGAGGCAATTCACTTCTTTGTCCAGTTCATACAAATTACGGTGGGCTTACTCTGTCTCCTAGCGTGTCTTTGGTTGTTACTGTCTGCCGAAGTAACCCTGCCAAACAGCTGGTTAATGTTGAAACATACGTGCAAACAGATTGCAGACTGCTCGGTAGTTGTTCGAAATCAACTACGGGCAGTAAAGCTTAATCTGAAAATCGTCTTTGCTCGACTCATTGCACTCCGTCCGTTATCCGCTTCATTACCTTTTTCGTAAATCTTTGACCTCTCTGGCTGTTTGTCCACACTGTCTTCCTTAGCTGTGTTGTTGTCGACTTTTCTGCTACGTGACATTTTTGCTGAGCCCCTATCCGTAGTAGCTTTTCATCGTGTTACAAACGTCATTACATACGTTGTAAAGCGCATGTGATGACATTTGTGCGGACCCCATCTCAATAACGGCTTATTAATCTATATCGAGCATTTGATGTTACGATCATAAACATGGATTCGCGCACTACAGTATAATGGTAAGCCCTTAATTTCTCCAATCCCGATTTCGTAGTTTATGTACCTCTTTCGTGATTGATTCCTTCAGTTGCCAGGTTGATTTCTTAGCAAGCGGCGGCGAACTTATTGCTCTCGCAGAATTGAGTTGCACATCGAGCGATCCCAACACTGTTGC